GAATCTGAAGCTCAATCTCTCCTTTTGGGCTTCGCCTTGCCTCTTATAAGGGGTGGACTGACATCTTGGTGGAAATCAGACTATCTCCCTCTAGTGCTTATGCTACTCAGAATTATCGCCTACCCTCCACTACATTCTACCATCATGGGTGATTGTTGGTCTCTTTTTAAAGTTTTCAACACCTCAAATGTTCGCCACATTTGACGCACGGGCAATATATGTGCACATGATTTAGCTTAATATGCTTGCAGATATAAAGGTACCACTTTCTTGGACTCTCTTCTAGGTCCAGACTATATATGTAACCAAATTATTCTTGATGCCCCTTAATAGAATCATTTCATGGTTCCTTTAGAAAAAATAAAATTATTCTTGATGCCCCTTAATAGAATCATTTCATGGTTCCTTTAGAAAAAATAAAGCTAGGATTGCTCTAGTATCATATTAAAGTCCCTATCATTACATCAAAACTACGAAGTTATTTGTAAAGGTTAGAGAGTTATAATTTTATATTCTAACATATCTGAAATTGATTTTGATGGAATCAGAAACATAAGCTTCTTGAGCAGATGAGTAGACAGATACCTACATGAACCTTTTTTCTCATACGAAAACCGCTACTAAACGAAGAATTTTTTTCACATCCAGTTGTACAAAGCAGATAATATTCCTCAAGAAGAATTTTTCAAAACAGACCCACTCCAAATTTTTTTTCTTAAAACCGACCCGTTTTTTTTTATTTATCAAAACCGACCCGATTTTGTAATTAACAGCTTAATCACCTTCCTAAACAGTCGGGGTTGGCAACCCCGACTATTTAGGACCTTAATTTTTAGGGTTTAAGGCTTCTAATTAGGGTTTAACACCTTCCTAAATAGTCGGGGTTGCCAACCCCGACTGTTTAGGATAGTGATTAAGCTGCTAATTACAAAATCGGGTCGGTTTTGATAAATAAAAAAAAAACGGGTTGGTTTTAATAAAAAAAAATTGAAATGGGTCAGTTTTGAAAAATTCTTCTATTCCTCAATAAACATGTACAGGAATAGGCAAGGTCAAAGCCACAAGGGTTTATTTTCTCATCAGCCAAGTAGATACAAATGGGAACAATTTCCATTAGCTGTTTCTGTAGTTCAGATTACAACATTTACAATTTTGTACATGGAACACAGGTAAACGACATGATTATGGATGGTTTCATCCATTGCATGAGTGGAACACAAGTGATTATGTTGTATATATACAAATTATGGACAGATGAATTGTGAGTTTATCTACAAGAAATCCCACTGCCAGTATATTTTCTCAACTATACCGCCCCCGCTGCGAACTGCAACTCGAAGGGTTTCTGATGCAGGAGGAACACCCCAGAGCAGTGGAACTGCGACAGTCATCTTTAACTTCTCCTGCAGTCCACCCTTGCTTGCCTTCTCAGCAGCGACAACCTGCAAATGGAAACATAAGCTCCGGAAAATTGTGACATGATGGGATTTGTGGGTCGTCATGGGGTAATGCAGCTTTGCTTCCCTGACAAAAGATTCTTAATTTGAACTATGATTCTGGAACTAGAACAAGGAGAGAACAGAAAGTAGCCTCTAGATGTATCTTTTCATTAGGCCAATACTCTAAATATGCGATAAAGGTGGATTTATAATGTCATACTCTAATATGTATCCCATGTTAAGCCTCCTTTTTCATAAACCTAACCCTAGACTATTACATGGCGATATCTTCTTGTTTTTTTTCCCAAATTACGTTTTAAAGGTGTATCTGGTGGGATTCGAGCCTGGATAGATCTAAATATCTAATATCATTTCAACTTAGCTTCTTTTACACTAAATAAATCTCCGAATATGTGGTGAAGGGTGCAGTTGAAGTACTTCGAATAAGTACTGGAGGATGCATTATAATGTGGTGAGGGGTGCAGTTCTTGCAGTAGTTCTTCAAAGATCTACTGGAGGCTGCAGTCCTTCGAGAGAACAAGACTCAACTATAGAGATGATGGTTTTTATTTTTTCTTATTTTTATTTAGCAATTCTTTCAAGAGGGTATAGAAGCTAAAATAGAGTCAGCAGTAGATCATTTGAAGTTTGGACTGCTGTAATTAACTAGCCAATTCTTGCATCTTGTTAATGTTAGTATCTAGAAAGATCATTCAACTCGGTTACAAACCTTTTTAGTGCTGTAAATATAAGTAAAAATGTAATTTTACAATCGACCATTTTATTCCACTCATTATAATGGCAAGAAAGGGATTGGCGCATGCATGCTTTGCACAATTTTATACAATATGACTAAAAGCAAGAATAAGAATACCAGGTTCAAACACTAACTCTGCATTACAATATGCTTCTCAAATTACCTCTCCTCCATGTTCTAGTACAGTGTCTTCAACAACATCACTTAGCATTTCAATGGACCGGCAAAAGCCAAAAATGCATAGTCTTCTTCCTGTGTCAAGTCCCTGCATGAAAAATGACAATAAAACTCATCAACCAAATGTCATATTGCAGAGTAAACAAAAAGCTAAGTTAATACAGGGGGCACTACTTACATTTGTTGCCGCAATATCAAATAGGGCACCAAGACAAAGACCTTGATCAGGATCCATGTAATCACTCTCCTGAAAACGCTGAAGTTTAAGTGACGACTTCAGTCTCTCTTTCCTCTTCTGCACAAGCATCATAAGAGTAGGTATCTCCAAAATAAAAGAAACATATGAAAAATTATAAACCCAAATAAATGACTGAAAGGGAGAAATTGGAAGAATTGTATGAACAAATTTGTTAGTCAATCCAACTACTTAACTGCATCATAACAACTTTTTACATTATTCAATTCGTGTGTCTAAGAAACAAACAAATTAATTGAGAAAGATACTTCTTAAAAAAGGCCACCTTTTATTTATATGAATCTGAGTGTACAAACTTCCCTTTCTGCAAGCATTCAGTACCCTTTCTTTTCAGAAGTAAAATATCAGGAAAAAATTTCCAAAAGAGATCCAACAGTAATACTTGAGTTAAATAAATTTGTGACAGAATATGTAACATAACTTCATTCAAGTAGAACCCAGATTAAGACTGCCGGCAATATCTGAAAATCATGAGATAAACAATGATCAGACATTAATTTGAAATGCATTTACATCTGAAGGAGCAAAGCGGCGAGGAACCAGGGACCCTCCTATCTGAATCAACCCTTCAGTTGTGAAAAGAGTTATTCTATCTTCTGGAAGCCATTGAATAGCTGCAAACATGACGATAACCATCATTATTTTATATGAATTAAAAACTTTCTACATATGAAAAGACGGACACAATTAGAATAGAATTTTTATTAGGGTATCTGCACTTTAATACCCCAAAATTTGACCTTTTTCGGACTTTGATACACGAAGTTCTGTTTTACAATTTGATACCCCAAAGTGCAAACTAGTCGACATTGATTTTGTTCAAGATTATCAACTTAGAAAAGTGAATGAAAAGCAAATGTTCTTACCAAATTTCAGATTTTTTTGAGTATGGGGGAATAATGAATAAAGTTAGCACTTTGGAGTATCAATTTGTCAAATTGACATTCACTTGAAAACTGGGGGTATTAAATTGGGTACTGACGTTAAATGATTTGAAACTTTTGGACATTAAAGTGCAAATAAGCCTAATATTTATTTAAAACATAGAAATAAAGCAACCATAATGTGATCATAGCATAAAAATATATGATAATCATATGCAAGACAGATTATAACAAGAAATAGGAATATTTTCAGGTAGTCCATTTTTTTATATACTAACGGAAAGAACATACAGACAGTAAGTCACAGCCAAACTTCCAGAACAATAATAAGGGTGAGATGCAAGGAAAAGATTTTTTTACACAAGGAGAAATATATAAGGTACAAAATTATAAAGTACATGTTTCTCTAGTCATTTAAGCAACTTCCATAACTTCCACCTTTGTTCCATAGGAACCTCCAGAAAAGTTAACGAGTTAGTTGAATTCATCGATATTTCAGCCTTTTTATTTAAACAAAGGAAAATTGGGATCTTTTAAATTTAATATATGATCTAATTTATGAATGTTCTTCCCAATAGAAAAAGCACAATATTCTCAAAGTCTCCTCATTACACCAAACTTCCATTATCGTGAAGACCGTGAGAGTTAAGTGTTATAATCTAGACTCTAACATCCTCCTTCAAGTCCAGGGCCCTCTTTATGGACTGAAATTTGGGTTTTCTTCTGTCCACGATACTGTTTGTGGTCACTTTAATGGGATTTGCACACAAACCACATTAAAGTCTCTTCTACTACATTATAGCTCCGAAGTTACCGTGAAGATTGAGGGCTATAATAATTTTATACTATAACAATATTCATAACCATAACCATTAGCTTTTGGGGTGCAGTCAGAGATAGAGCATAAAAGAGTTCAGCATCAACATTCCTTTTTTTTTAATCACATGAATTTGTATCCAAATTAATTTGCAAACCCGAGACGACCTACGACACATGTTTTTCCCTGTAAGCAAGTATGTAAACACTGGCCTACAGTTACAGAATATTTATCATAATACAATCTTAATGGTGCACATGGGCCTTCAATAACATCGAGCTCAGTGTCGAAATATTTTGCATCAATAACCCAATCAACCTAGAATCCAATCAAACTGAGATGTACCCAGATAACCCAAAACCTCAATTTCAAATAAAATCAATAAATTAAGCAGCAATATTAGTAACAAAAATCAAGGACCCAACTCACTTTGATCATCCCCATGAGAGGGAACCGAAGACTCCCACGGATAAGGGCCGTAAGGGTCACCGCCACCAAAGCACCCACCACCATCAGAGTCCTTGCCCCGCGATCGAACGATCAAAAGAGGAGGAGATCTGCACCGAGGAGAGAGGCTCAAATTCCTCGAGGAGAGAGAGAGCTTTGAGGAGGAGGGAGAGCAAGAGGAAGTCGAGGGGAGGGGGTGGAAGGGGGAGGAGAAGAAGCAGAGGGCAGCAGAGGAATCCGCCATTGTCATCGAAGGAGAACGAAATTGAGCGGTGATCTCTAAAGGGCTTTGATCTTTTTGATTTCTTATTTTTATTTTTTATTCTTCTATTTTACTTCGGCTTTTATTTGTTTTTTGTGTGGAGGAGGAGGCGGAGCCGCGGGGGCGAGGAAGCGAGGTCACGTGAGTCACGTGGGCAGTTGGATCCCAGCGGGGGTTTACTTGTCGGAACGATAAAGAAAACGGATAAGGAACGCGCCTCTATCGATCTTTTTCAAGCAACATTTTTGGGTTCTTCGCATGTTAATACCTCGAACTTTTTTTTTCCATTTTTTGATACATCCTGAGTTTCCTGGAATTTTATATTAACAATTTAAAACCTCAAAGTGCACAAAAGTCAGACGTCAATGTTGTATAAAATATCAATATTGAAAAGTGGATGTGAAACAAAATTTTACAACTACATCAACTGTCAATACGTACGAGACGCTACTAACAGCTTGGTTAAATGTATACTATTTACACTGTTTATATTATAATTTTAAGAAAAGTCACCTCTCTTTTTATTTTAGAGCGTGCATGGATTGGGGTTAATGTGAGAGAAGGTAGGACAGATATTTATCCTATTGGGGAATTTTATTTAATATAAATAATAGGAGGGGAAGTTACAGTAACTGGGAGGAAAAATCTTTAAGATTTTCTTCCCCTTCAAATTGGGCTGCAATGGAGGGGAAGAGAACTCTTAAAAAAAAGAGTGTTACATAGATATAATTGTACCCTTGTATCAATATGAGATCTAAAGGAGCGAAATAACATGTAAGGTTTTTTTTTATGTAAATTTATATATATTTTCTTAACTTCTCTTTACTATATTGAACTTCCCAAATAGAGTGAAATAAGTTCTCTTTAATTCTCCTTACTAAATTTTATATGTTGCCTTTATGGGTTATTTGGTTCACATGAAAAAGACTTGCAACGATAAATGAAGCGACAATTTTTTTATTTATAACGTTTGGTTTGCAACAACATAGTTAGTTAGCATAATTGAATTTATAGTTTGTAAAAAAGAATTGTATCATTTATTGCAGCCAATTTGACCGCAACAAATGTTGCAAATTTGCATTAACTAAAACTACCGAATAAACTAATGCCACATCATTAAAATTGGTGAATTCCAACCCAAAAATGTTTATCTTTTTGTATTTGCAGAGAAACAAACACTTGAATGTAATGAATTTTCATTTCCTATAAAAAAATGTAAATCTAACAAGTATTATAACAAACTAAACATTATATTTAGATTTGTAAATACATTTACCGCAGTAATAATGTAGATCCAAAGACCGAATTTGAGGTTTATTTCCTGCAACAAATGCAGCATGCAACATTTTATGCACATAATATTTATTGCAAATACAATTGCAGCAGTGTATCAAAGAGTCTCTTAACTTCTCTTAACGCACCCTGCGTTGACATTTTCAGGAAATGAAATAAAAACACCTGCGTTGACATTTTCAGGAAATCAAATAAAAACACCTGCACACGTTCAAGCATAATCTGATACAGTGAACTGGAAGCAGCAGTTTTTTAAACCAAATGCCTAGTCCACAGTCATTTACAATTATACCCTTCATGGTGCTGAACGGGGAAGGGTTCAAGAAATCCTCGGGCGCGAAAATCTTCAGCTAGGGTTTTGCCCCAATCCTGAGGTAAAATCTCTTCCCCGGTTTCTCTGCTTCTGTTATTCTCTTTGATTAATCGATTGATTGATTGTGATCTCAGGCAGCGTTGAATTCTTTATTCCTGAGGGGGGGACAAAAATCGAAAATTGATTATTTGATCATAATTTACAGAATTTTCGCCTACTTTGTTGATGCATTTGGTTAATCGACATGGACAAAAGGAGAAAGGTGAAGTTTTTGGATCCTGAACCTAGTGGGAAACAACATTTGCCCTCATGTCGAACCAAAAGGGCTCACTCTCTTAATGGTAATTTATCGTTTTTTATTGAAGAATTTGTCGTTAAAAAAGTTTTTGGTAGTGCTGATTATGAAAGTTCCAGTTTAATGCATGCAGCTGATGATGCGAAGACTTCTGAATTCAAAACATTTAAGAGACTTTTGGGAGAAACTGACAGTAAATGTAATGTTAATTGCATTTCTAAGCAAGTCAAGAAATTGAAAACTTTTGAAGGGAATGAGTCCTTGCAAGGTAAAAGCCCAAAACCAATCTCTTGGTTTTTCACCATCCAAATCTTTGCTAATTTACCCTAAAGTTACCACATTGAGTAAAAACACCCCCAAAAGTTATGTTGTAGAATATATTTATCATATTCCTTACTTAATTCTTTACTTGAAACTTCTCTCTTCTACAGTTCTACTGTTCAAAAACTAGCAACTCTGGGCTTAGGGTATTTTAACTCAACGTGGTAGAGTATGGGCCAAATTTAGAAATTTCATTTTGGGGGTAATATTTGCATATGGTCGATTTGCATGGTATATATGTAAAAAGCTCCTCTTTTGGGCTTATGATCTGTGCAAACTCCTGGTTAAATTATTACGAGTTCATTGTGGGTTCTTATCTTGTGTAGAAAAGAATGAAGCTGTTACATTTATATCTGATGCGAAGCGGTCTTCCCCTTGCTTGAGGAGCTCAAAGAAATTGGGTGAGCATTGCCATGAACAGTACTTTTGACATATTTAAGAGATTTCCCCCCCGCAGCTTTACACTAATCCTGCTTATTTTCACCTAGACTGTCATAGCTATAGAATGTTTTTTCCCCTTAGTTAATGATGTTCAATTTGGGTTTTTCAGAATCAGTTGATAACGGCAAATACAAACACAACACAACCAGTTTTATGTCACCCACTCAGGAAGCAAAATCTGATTGTTGGAAGTCCTCCTTTTCACCTGCAAAACTCTCACTAGACTTGGGTAAGCATTGGAAATAGCATAGTTAATATCATATATATCATCACATAGCAATTATGGCCTTTCTTATATTTGGATGTAAATTCTCCTGATTTCGGATCTATTTCTGCACTTGGCCTCCAAATCAAGGTTTTCTTTTTACCAAGTTTTCTCTGGACTAATGTGGCTAAGTTTTATACGAGTTTGGCTAGATTTCCGCTTTGAATGCAACAATGCTAACAACTGATTATTTCTTTTGAACTGTACCTTAGACCCAAATCACGAGTATGAAGGAATTTTTACAAGAAAGAGAAAGAAGTTGTTGCAGTTAGTTGCTAAGGCATCAGCCCATAAAGAAGACAAGATTTTATCTAAGAAGTTAGTTTCTCTTATCAGAATATCTTATTATCTATGCAATTCCCCTCTAGAGTCATGTTTGCTAACAAAATAAATTATCAGATCAGATTTGATTCCAGGGTTCTGGAAGAGGTTGGGTAGTAGACGAAAATCAAGCAATGTATGTTCTTCTATTTCATCAGAAACTGAATATTTGTTGCCCCTTATTATTTTAACATGTTTCAAACTATTTATCTATTGAACTTAAAATGTAATATCTTGACAGCTTGATGAGTCCCCTGAACGAGAGAAGAAGTTGCCAAGTGGTAAATATCATTTACATGCACCACTGGAAGCATATTGTGACAATAGAGAACAAGAGACTGCAAGGGAAGACATCCAACGTATTCTAAGAAGAAAATCGGAAATGGCTTTGCTTGCTCCTAGGTGTAGTGTATCGAATAAGCTAATTACTTTGCCAGAGAGTAATGACAAATATCTCGAATTTCCAACCTGTCATGGTCTTGAAGTTGGCTCTGAGCATCCTAGATTGCAATGGATATCAGTATCTGATGAAAAAAGAAAGTCACAGTTAGATGAAAAGATATGGTATCAAAAGACATGTAACACGCTTCCCAAATGTGAGGAGCTTATGGGTTTGCCACAGTGTTATCCTTTGATCCATACGTTTCCGACTTCTAATGTTTTAGATTCTAGCCTTGATGGCGCACAATGGCATCCAAATCCAGTACTAGATGACGAAGGAATTCTCGACAACTTATCAGTTTCCGAAAGATTCCATGCAATGGATCTGAAGATGATTCCCGGTACAGTGATCAAGGAAGAAGGAATTTTTGAGAACAGATCACTTTATAGTGAATACCACGGGATGGGTCTCCCTCTGTCCAAAGATAACGAGTCTTTTGCTTTTCCAAGTGATAACCTTCAGTATATACCAGCTAGGCATTCTGTTCAAACTGGACATCAAGGCAAAAATGAACACTCCATTTCAGAGGAAAACATGCTACCAGAATTTGACTACTGGATTGCAAACGACTTTCCTAATAGGAGACAAGTCAAATATAAATCAATTGTCCCATACGATGATTCTGCTTCTTCCTATGATCTCGGTGCTCGAGATTTTTTTTCAGAGTTTGCGAAAGACAAGTATAATCCTCCTTTGGTACAATGGAGCAACAACATTAAGCCTGAGCATCAAAAGAGATTGGATAATTTGCCACTAGCGTTATACAATGCTCCAAATTTAGTTGATAGAACGGAAGGGCCACGGGCTATTAATGTTTCTGAAGGAGAAATTATCAGTTTACATGAAAATTGTCCCATTTCAACTCCAAGATCTAGTATGAAGCAAGAATGGAATAGCTTACCCTCTGACCTCGATTGGTGGCCATTTTACACAAAATTCCCATTGGAAGGGAAACAGGCAGATGGTGGATTGGATTGCCTTGCTTCTAGAAGTAGGTATGAAGGTTTTGAAGGCATTGGAAACTTAATGGATATCCAAAGTCATTTTTTGACCGATTTTTCGTCTTTGGGGGCTAAATTTTCTATGGACAAGGAAAAGAGTATTTTCAGTTTGCTGCCAAAGAGATTAAGCTGGCACTGCCCTGAGGATGGTTATCCAATGAATGGGTAAGTTGGATATTCGTTTATGTACAGTTTTGTTAAGGAAAATGTACTTGTCATGATTTCTAAGTGATATTGTAAAAGATGCACTATCCCGATAGTGACATCTAATATTAGCAGGAATTATGTAATTTTGACCTGTTAGTAATTTTTCTAAGTTTGTGAACATTACTGGATTGTACGGTTCATTGATCATGAGTAAATCATTTATGTTCTCCACAATGATTATGCTTCAGTATGAGCAGTTAGATGAAATTAGATTATAAATTACGAATTGAGAGAATGCATGCAGTTTGTTTTGAAATATTATTAATACAATGTGTGATCCATTTACATGATACTGGATTAGTAGTAACTAGTATTAAGCCCGCGCCTTGCTGCATGGTATTATTTACCGAGGTATATTTGTCGCCAAATTGATAATATGATTTTTGCATATAACTGTTTATAAAAACTTTAGCGATAAATTTTTTTACTGCTATTTACATAGTGGACCTCCCAGCCATTTAACCCAACAATATATCAATTAGCAAGTCTTATCAATTTTCTTTAATAGAGCCAGGGAATATCTATGTACGTGAAATGTCTGATAAAGGTTCAAATCATCATCTGTAAAAACCCACAAATTTTTTTTTTGAACGGTGTTTCAAAGGTCCAATTTTTTTGCTTTACCTTGAACAGTAACCTGAACAGTATTTTTTAGATTCACAATTGTATTGCTGCTTGGAGACTGGGTTTAATATTCTGAATTATACTGTAGTAAAAATTGTATTTACTGTAGCATAACTAATGATTCTAAGGTTTTGCTTTTAAGTTAAAAAAGCAGTAGATGCCCTTGAACATGGAGGTGCATTATGGCCAGGAATGAATTAAGTGGAGTAATGATGTTATATTGATTCTTGGCACGGTACTTTATAACATCTAAAATTAAAAAAAATTGCCTACTAGATGTCAGACTATAAACTTGAGAAAATCTATAAATACTCAACGCAACTGCATCATCCCTTCAAATAACCAACCAAAAAATATTAACTCTTCAACCTCGATGATAATTTTGGTGATAATAATTGGTGTCAAAAGACTGCATCTTGTGTCTCAAGGATTCGGTTGATGCTATAAAAGAGAATTTGTGCTGGTTCGGTTGTGGCGATCAAGCCTAAGGAGCTGATTATTTACTCTTTAATTTCATCATATATATATATAGCACTGAGGTGGTAGCAAAATGCTTTCTGAACTCTGAACCCCACTATATATGGGGAAATTTAAGGTACACAATTTTGTTGGGACTTCTTGCTCTTAATGATTGAAAGAAATGAAAAATAATAACAATAATAATAATAATACAACTTCGACCTCACTCTCTTGATAAGTTCCCTTTTTCTACTTATTCAATCGACACTTGTGATCTTAAATACACCATATATTGGATTACAGCAGCGTACACTGGTACGCAAATACGCAAGTAAATTTTTCAAAAACTTTCCAGCAGAAACTTCTTGCACTTAATGGTTGAAAGAGTTTTTAGTATCTTCAACGTTCATCATGAGAAAAGGTGCAAATTAATTAAGGGAAAATATTCGTTAAGTGAGAAACATTTAAGGTACATATATCAGCAATATACGTAGCCTGCGATAAACTTTTGATCGTCCACTTCTTTCAGCCAACAGTTGACAGATCGAACCATAAAAGCAACGGGCACCTCATCAGCTTCAGCATCAAGAAACCTGGACTAGAGAAAGATAACTGGAAATTATTACTTCAGATTACCGTAAGATATTTTGAAGACAGATTAGATGGGAAGTAAATCCTTTAAGGGTTTAATTGCAGGTAGAACCCCCTGTAGAATTGTTGTGTTGAACTTACTACGCTTATAGTTTCATTGTTGCAAATAGACCCCCTGGGTTGAACTTTTTTCACTCTTTTTATCCTTGGTGAAATCTTGGCGGACGTTACCCCTAGTGAAAATAGTGAGTTAAGCTGAGGATGAAAAAGCGAAAATAATATAATCTAGCAGGTCTACAGGCAACATTGGAACTATAGGATTAGTAAGTCCAAAACAGATACTGCAGCGCGTCTATATATGTGCGATTAACGCAACCTGTAATTGCACAGTGCAACGCTGAGAAAAGAGCCAGCCTTCAGTTCAGCAGGTGCCAACCGAGAAAAGGTAGAATGGTACTGTGTGGCTTCGTCGTTAAAAATTGCAGTTACACGTCATCAACCGAGCATTTTAAAAAAAGAAGAAGAAGAAGAAGAAGAGCAAGGCTTTAAAGTGTTTAGGCTCCATTATTTCTCCAGAAAATAAAAAGAAATTGAAAAGGCTCCGCGGGGTTTTTATAGATTCTGTCCCATTTGTTTATGTAACTTTTGGCCGAGATAACCCGTTTAAGGAAACCAGGATTCATTGTTTTCAGTTGAAGTGTGAAGAACTGTTAAGCATAACGAATACTAACATCTTTTGTATGTCGACCGCTTAACGACAATTATATTTAGGATTTTGCAATATGACCATATAAGGTGATCCTTTCTGGCTAGAATATTGGGTAAATTGTGGATACACACCTTACTATCATCACCCAGTCGCGGACAGACCCCTTGTAGTTCTATCGTTGCAGATAGGCCTCCCAAGTGAACTTTTATTTTTCTTTGACTCTTTTACCCTCAGATAAAAGATAAATTTGGTTTCCGACGAACAGACTTCCCAAGGGTTACAGAGTTAGAAAAACTTTACTCTCGAGGAACCTCTCTGCAACTATAGAATCACGACAGGCGGTTTCAACTAGGTGTTTTTCCCCAGAAGGTAATTCCTGAAACTCAATAATTTAATATTAGGATTTTGTTAGACTATTTGTTACATTTATCGCTCAGATTTTGTTAGACTATTTGTTACATTTAGGTTAACCTTACCAATTGGTAGGAATTCGAACCACCAAATGTTTCTGATAACAATTGGAGAACCCAATAGGCAATAGTAATTTCAATTATCCGAGAGATAAATTTCAAATAACTTAATATTAGGAATTTTTTTTTACAAACTGTTAATATTTGTTGAATTTTCTATTAAAGATATCCTAAATTCTATTTAAGGAAAAGTGAGGGTATATAAGCGCTATCCTAATTCTACTTGAGAAAAAGCTAGGGTATATAAGCGCAAGCAAATGAAACTAGGTAGTAATTTAGTGCTATTTTCAAACATGACTGTGTCTTTTTTTATTTCAAAGATCGCATGCCATTTTAGTGACATGGTGACATCATGGAACAGATCTATTGTCTTAAAATTTAAACCCCACCAACAAATCGGCAATTCTCATAAAAGAACATGTAACTAGATTGGCACTGTAACATAAAAATACAATGTAATGGGACAAGTATCTTCAGGTTCGCAGAACCTTCGCACATTTTGGGTTACTTCTCAAAAACTTCAGAATCTAATACGAGTTTCAATATGTTTCCAGCGCACAGGATACGTGATGCATGTATAAAGGTAACAAGAAAATAGAACTTTGTTCAACAGTACGTATGAAAGCCGGTGTTTCTCAACATGCAATCGAATTCGAGTTCTACAGTCTATGTTATGGGTACTGAAGATAAGGTTGATTTCTGATTGTGAGCTCGCATCAATTCATTTGTAACGATGGATTGGAGCTCATCAAAACAATATCTTGGGTTACATGTTTAGTTTTCAAATAGGGGTAGTTGCATATTTGACCACCTATAGTATCATTGTTTTGAATTTACTACTACTTCATTTTAGAAGATATACTCTTTGGTAAAATTTTAGAACTTTGTTCAGCAGAATTTTCAGGCTAGGAGGATACAACAACCAGAGGCCAACATTGTTCGTTATATTTGAAGGGTTAATTGCACATAGACCCACTGTAGTATCGGTATTCTGTACTTAGTACACTTGTGGTTTTATTTTAGGAGATAGACCCCCTTGGTAAATTTTTTTGGCTCCTTCACCCTCAGACTCACTAATTTCATGAAAGAGCAATATTTGCCAAATTTTCAGCTGGATAAAATTTTACCGAAGAGTCTTGTCTTCCAAAACGGAGTAGTAGTAAATTCAAAACAGTGATACTATAGGTGGTCAAATATGCAACTACCCCTATTTGAAAACTAAACATGTAACCCAAGATATTGTTTTGATGAGCTCCAATCCATCGTTACAAATGAGCTGATGCGAGCTCACAATCTGAAATCAACCTTATCTTCAGTACCCATAACATAGACTGTAGAACTCGAATTCGATTGCATGTTGAGAAACACCGGCTTTCATAGAGTTGATAACTACAGATAAACTCACTCTTTGCTATTGCTCATGTAGACTTTCTATCCTGGACCATAATAACATTGACTCTTGGGCCAGAAAGCAAATCATTTAGTCTTGCGACGCTTTGGTAACCCAACGCAACTCGAACAGTACCATTTGCCTTTTGGATGTTCTTTTAAACCCACACACTGAAAGTGGAACCATTCAATCTTACACTGGAAAACAAACAAACAACAAAAGATTATATTTCACAAAAGAAAAGCTAGATTTGAGGAGAGAAAGTTGAAAAATGAGACAGAGGGAAATGTTTACATCAGGGTTGTCACATGCAATCATCTCCCCCCAGCTAACTTGGTTGCAGATGCAGTATGTTGGTTCATTCGGGTCTACTGGCAATTCAAAATCTGCACTTGGTTGCTCTGTCGGCGTTGCTAATTTTGTCCTGTACCCAAAATGGTAAACGTCAAAAATAACTTTTTTAAAGATAGTTCAAAAGGTAAATTTCACAAAGTCCCCCTTGCACTCGGCCTCCCTCAACTTTCAAAATTATACTAAACCCCCTTGAACTATTGAAAATTGTCATAAACTGCGTAATAAAGTCTGAACTGTCATTCTCATTTTTTTAGCTCCCATTATCTGAAAAGGAGAACATTGAATTTATATTTAGTACATAGAGGTAAAGTTTTCCAAAACTTGTCACGTGCCAACCACATGACACCTTACAGTGCCTGCCTCAATCATGGTACTTAAATTATACAAGTTCAAGGGGTTTTCTATGATTTATAAAGTTCAAGGAGGCTTGTGCAAACACGCCCAGACTTCAGGAGGTTTTGTGAAATTTACCCAAGCTTAAAATTGAGAGACATACTTTTTACGCCCTCCTCTACTGCTCTCAGTAGATCTTGCTGATCTCGTAATCCCATCACTGTTCAAGGCACTGGATCCACCACTAGCTGCGAGTTCCCTCTCTGCAGCCAAATACGAATACCATGTTTATATTTATCGGTTCTATCTAAGAATGGTGTGAAGCAATGAGAAGTAAGTAGTCTTCTGGTAAGTGAATGGTACCTTGCCGAAGGCCTTCGAGTTTTTTCATGTACTGATCAAGTAGGCAGATTTGCTCATCCACCTACAGCAAAATTTAAGGATTGGCAACAGATAATTGAGCATCCGAGCCTTTTCAAATAGGTCATTTAGCTAGTTAACTGCATGAAAATATTTTTTTTATTGATTGAATTTCAGCTATTAGATGTTTAAACTATAAAAAGCAATTAGATGAGACATTAAGAAGAAAGGGAGACTGGCAAAATAAATATGAAAGAACTGTACGATATCCATTAAATAAATAAGAAGATATCATTAGATGGATTAAACAGTTCATATTGAATACACAATGTGTACTTTATATGCACTAGAATGGCATATATAACTGAAATTAATCTCTATTAACAGCTCAGAATAAAATAGACAAACCCGCACGGGGGGGTGGGGGTAAATACTGATTGAAGTAACAAAAAAGAGAAACATGGAAAGTGATCAATAAAATTCTTCCTAATATCCCAGAATGCGAACCTTAAAAACTTGTACTCCGTGTACTAAGATATCACAACCAATCCATAATTCAATAGAATGGATCTAGATATTTGTATAACATGGTTATGAGTTCAGATCTTTCATATGGAGTACTGGAGTGCTACGAGGAAGCCTCAAAGTGTCCTAATGTCCAACTTTGTCCAAAAGTGACGAGAAAGTAAAACAGAGTCAGTAACACTCATCTTATAGGAAATACAGTAACATAGAGTGAAGTCAAAGATAAAATTTTACTGAAGGAGAAGACTATTTGAAGTTGACTTTTGACTTTTCCTAATACTATATGGTCTATCATCTATGGGAGGAGATTGCATCACAAACCAAAATAAATATGGAAATCATATTTAATTTTAATATTTCATATAGTACAGTAACAATACTAAGGTCCCTTATTACATACCAAATCATAAACTAGAGTAGCCAAATTCACTTTTTCATCAGCAATCCTTACGCAATGCTTCTGTTCATCGAGAGCTTCATCTGAAAATTTGATATGAGATCTACCAGGAGTGATATCACGAGATTCAATTCCTCGCCTAATTTCCTCCATTTCTTGTTCACAGCGTTGTTCATTTTGTCGTTGGACTCCTGTAATTATTAAGAGAAATCAACAAATAATACAGCCTTAATATTGTAGAACAACCTCTAACGGTCAGCACATATACAAAAACAAGCTGAAAAAGACAAATGATAATTGCATATTTGCCTCAACCAAAAGTAGTCAAGTATGTATACCCAACTAGGACACAACAATGGGATGCAGTTATTGTTCGTGTAACAAACAGATATTCCGCAAAGCCTGCATCTAAGACTTTCATACTAAAGAAAAATGGGGGAAAAGAGGAAAGAATCAAGTAATAAAGTTTACTACTGAACTATGTAGGTATGCATGTGGCTGGTTGGCCTGGAGCCCTTGTTTCCATCAGGTATGGGTTTTACTGATGCATGAGGAACTTCTCCATCAACAAGACTCCTTGAGAAGACAGGCATAACAAGTCAACCCAGAATGAAGAAGGGAAAAGGGAGAAAGAAAGAGGGAAAAGAACTTATAATTGAGGTTGCCTTTATTGCACTATTTGGAAAATTATAAGTAAAATGGTGCTGATTGCACAAAGAACAATAATTAGACCTTGAAGCCTCAATTATGTAAAATGCTAAATGTATTAGTTTTCTTATACTTCTCTTGTACGCAAATAAATATGGCTCTTCTACTTTGTCTTGAAATGGGGTGATGAGGTTAGGGATTCCCCTGTCAGTTTAATTGAAGTACCCAAATAGTACTAAAAGTGTGGTACAATTAGCCTTATCCATCAATTACTTGTCATTCATACATCATTCATTCAGGTCCAAACCGTTTTATCTATGCAAGATCTATAAGCACTCAATAAACTTTTCACAATCAACATGTGAATTTCCAGGAAATCAGTTTCATAAAAATATATTGAACACCAGTGCGTAACAAAGATGATGACCCTGAGCTGAAATGGAAAAAGGGATTCACGCAGCTCTCCGAAAATTTTGGTGCAAGGATCATGGGTATTAAATAGTGTTTTAGTATGGGATATTAATTTTTAGTTCTATTCATAGGTAGTTTTTTTTTAGATGAGTCCAAATCAGAAGACTGCAAGCAGTAAAAGAGATTAAACATTTCCACAGAAGTTGTGGTACAAAATTTTACGATAAAATAGATGTATGAACAAATCATACCCTGCAAACTTTTGTCCAAATCCCGCATGGTTGCATAGTGACGATTCAGAATTACTGGCAAGGATTCAATACCTGACGAAAGGAAACAACATCTCAATACCAAAAGATGGTCTGATGCATAAGCAATAAAATTCTGCACGCAAACAATAAATAAAAGATATGAAACGCATTATTTGCACCGAACTCAAGCTTTTCACGATATTTTACATGAAGAAAGAAAAAAAATATGGAGCAGGCAGCCCGGCTAACTGCTTAGGTGCTCACCCTAAGCATCCAGATTGGTTACCAATCCATCCGATGCACTACCCAACCATAGAAGCGACAATGGAGCATGCAATGCACGTGCAGCCGCCGTGGTATGAGCTAACAATTTCAGGAGGTTTACATGTTCAATTCATTTCAGCTTGAAAGGACTAGAAAAATCTCTGCTTTATCTATTTTTATTTGTCAATAGTTATTATAATAGCAAGAAGATGATTTTGGGTGAGGTTCAAGTTAAAGGGTTAAAGAACTACCCGCAAGCCAGACACGCGCACGCACGCGCGCGCGCGCGCACACACACACACACAAACTGTGTCTTCAGTTATAGTTCAAAATTACAAAATTTTATTAATGTAACGAAGCGACTACACACAAATAAGTGCAAAAAATAGCATCATCAGACTGCTAATCCTGCAAAAGTAAGTTCTTTAAACACTGAAAGGTCTTATTCTAAAAACCCCTAAAAGTTTGGGCACACGTCAAAATTTCCATCGCTAGAGAACCCGTAACTAAATGGAAATAAAAATGCGAAAAATAGAAGATAGAGAAATCTTACTGGCTTGGAAATCCTCGTGAAAACCCATAGCGAGATTGTGAAATTCTTGATTTTGATTATTTGGCGCCCTAAATTTGGTCGAAAAGGGTTTTCTACTTTCTATCGAATTGAGCCCTAGAGAGAAAGAGGCAACGGGTCGGGTTCCAGTCGGATCTTATGATACCCCAGTTTCACTTTGGCTTTTTTATATTGGTCCCTTGCATCTTTAATATTTCGAGATTAGTATCAGTTGAAATTATAATGCCCTCTTAGTTATCTCAAATTAGTCGTAAGCAACCATTTTGATTTGTGGGAATATCTCCAATTATGCTTATTTTTTGTCAAGGATTTCCAGTTATGTCCTCTGTTTAAGCAAGCTACTCTATATCAAAAGCCCGTTTAAACTTTACATGCAAGTGAAAGATGAAAGTGAGAAAGTTACTTTCATTTAACAATTAAGGTGTTTGTTTTCATGTAAGTGGTTATAAAAGTAAGATACAAGAAAGTTGCCACATATGATTTAATGCAATTTTGACTTCCCCTAAAAAAGTGGTGAAGTCACATGAAAGTGACAAAAAGGTAACTAATTTAATTAAATAATTTTAATTATACTTTCTAATTAATCTTATTTTGCCACGTCATCTTTACATTACACTTTCGATAATAATTTAATTTTTCAAACGAACAATGTATTTCACTTGCGTGCTGACATGGATGTAAAAGTCATTTGCAAAAAAAAATAACTTACATATTTTAAATTCACTTTCAGATTACCAAACACCCCCTAAATTCTTAGATCTGTTTTAAACCGACCTCTTTAAACTTGTTTATATAATTTTTTTAGTATGTCGGCGATGAGATATATCTTGCGAATCACATTAGAAAAGATGGATTTAATCATATTATCTCATGATAGCATTTTGTAGGTAAAGTGGTCGGCTAGGATATTATTGATAGCATCTATAATTAATTAAGACACATATGCTATGGATCTAGATTTAAAATTTGGATTTCCAAAGTAGCTTTTGTATAATTATTACAAAATAAATTATTTAGAAATAAAATATTTGATGATTTCCACATGTTTTAATCATGATTTTTATTTACTACTATTAATATTTTAAAAGAAATCAGCATGGAATTCCCACAATGAAACTCCATCTAACACTTTCATTACAGCATATGGTTTTTTTTTTCTACACCCCCAACATCAACAAAGATGTAAACTGCAACCCAACACAAAAATACTACATCAGAAGTCCAAGACACATCCCGACGCACAAACTTTAATATTTACATCACGCATACTATACGTACATAAAAAGATAAATAGATAGACACTCATATTATTTTTCAAAAAACATCATCTTGGCCTTCTGTTGGATTTAATCTAATAAATCTATTTGTGGACACATATGATTAATCAATGTGTATTGCTATCTTTCAGGATAACCCACTAAAGTGATCAATTAAGTTGGGTTAATTTGGTATTTAAATAAGTCATGAGGTTATATGTGCAGATACCAGGTTGTAATTGTGATTTATTGAGGGGCTAAATTACAAAAGTACAACATCTATAAATAAGGGGTTATGGTCCCTAACCTAGGGTTACATTCTCTAATTCTCTACACCCCCATCTAGCTAGAGAAATTCGGATTTAGAGAAACCCTAACGCCTCGTTTGGTACGCGGGAATGAGGAGGAATGGAATGCAATTCCCACTTCCCATTCCCTCATACCAAACACACCTATATTTTAGATGTTGGAATAACCATTCCCAAGGAATGATCATTCCCACTATTTGTGGGAATGAGCATTCCAAGTGAGAAGATAAGGAATGGTCATTCCCATTCAAGTGAGAATAAAAAACTAGTTAGGTATTTTTCAATTATATCCATATTAATAATAAAGAATGTTTGGGTGAGGCACTATGCAAGTGAGCAATTTTAGATTGACAATTTAGGCTAGTATATTATTTTTCTATTTCGAAACTTATTATTTTAGTTGGTATTGTTTTATGGATTTTTGCTATTATGAATTGAGTGATTTTGATACTTTATCAAATAACTTTCAGGATAACCCACTAAAGTGATCAATTAAGTTGGGTTAATTTGGTATTTAAATGATCATGGGGTCATATGTGCAGATACCAGGTTGTAATTGTAATTTATTGAGGGGCTAAATTACAAAAGTACAACATCTATAAATAAGGGGTTATGGTCCCTAACCTAGGGTTACATTCTCTAATTCTCTACACCCCCATCTAGCTAGAGAAATTCGGATTTAGAGAAACCCTAAGGTTAGAAGATCCAAAACCCATCTCAAGGTTCATCCATGGATTCAGGTATAAGCTTCCGCTCTTTTGATTATTGTTAATCTCTTTGAATTAATCATGGCTATATGGTTTTAGATCTCAAGTTTTGGTTTAGATTTAACAAGTGGTATCAGAGCCACCTTGATTAATTCTTAGGGATTTAAGTTTTATTGGGTTTTTTGATCTTAAATCTCTGGTTAAAGATTCAGTTTTGTTCTCGGATGAACAGTAATGTTCGGGTGAACAGCAATGGAATTTTTTTTGGGTGAACAGTAAAGTTTTTGGATGAACAGTAACTGAAAAATCGCCGGTAAACAGTAACTTTTTGGATTTTTTTGGATTTTTCATTGATTTTTCTTCAATTTTTTCCAATTCTGGATCTGTTTGGAAAATAAAAATCAAAGATTTTTGGGTTTGTCGGCGGCGGTTTCAATTTGAAACCCTAAGGATTCGTGCGTGCGTGAAACGTGGCGAACATTAAGGAGGTGGTTACCTCAAATTTTGGCGAAGCAGTAAGCTTCAAACGAACCTCGCGTTCGTTCAATTTTAACCGAACTTCGCGTTCAAACGAACTTCGTGTTCGTTATCAAGTGAGCCTCGCGCTCAACAAACTTCGCGTTCGTTCTAAGGTGAACCTCGCGTTCAACTCAGGTGAGCGTCAAGCTCAATTTTAACGAAACTCGCGTTTGTTCTAAAGTGAACCTCGCGTTCAACTCAGGTGAGCGTCAAACTCAATTTTGACGAACCTCGTGTTCATACTTCAGTCGAACCTCGCGTTCGTACTTCAGTCGAACCTCGCGTTCATGCTTCAGTCGAACCTCGCGTTCATGCTTCAGTCGAACCTCGCGTTCGAGCTTCAGACGAAACTCGCGTTCGTACTTCAGACGAACCTCGCGTTTGTACTTCAGACGAACCTCGAGTTCGTACTTCAGTCGAACCTCACGTTCATTTTTTTAAACGAACCTCGCGTTCGTTCCCAAGTTGAACCTCGCGTTCATTTTTTTAAACGAACCTCGTGTTCGTTCCCAAGTTGAACCTTGCGTTCTTTTATCAAACGAACCTCGCGTTCGTTCATTTTCAGACGAACCTCGCGTTCGTGCTTAAGTGAGTCTAGTACTCAATACAGTCGAACCTCGCGTTCGAAGTTATGGGAACTTCGTGTTCATTATGGTTAAGCCTCGGCTTTTCATGGGTCCACTTTGGTATACTTAATTTATTCAATTAAGTTATGGGCCCTAATTAAGCTGTGAGACCCCAATTAAATTTTTGGAAATTCAGTTGATTTAAATTAAAATTTTTTAATTTAAATCTAATTCGGTTTTTAATCAATTATTTAATTCAAATATTATGACACTAAGGTATTAAGGTTGTCTCTCACTCCAATTGATTAATTGAAACAAGAAGTTGCCAAAGTAACCTCTCTTGTGTAGATTGTTCATGAGGAATGTGAGATGTTTGTGTGTATGCTTTCGTGTAAATATTTAATCGGCCCAAAGGAAGGTTAATATTTATTTAGACTGTATACACATCTGCGATGATAAGCGTGTGACAATTATAAGGTTTACATGTGAATAATGAATCGATCCAAAGATAGTTTCATTATTTGACATGAGTTATTGTCAATGTTTGATCATTGCAACAAGGTATCACTTACAAGTTAATATTACTGTCCAAAGACTTGATATTAATGTTGTGCCGGTATCTTGGATGGGGATTGTCATTATTTGAATTTTATTGATTATGGTTATTGATGTGAGCATTCTTTTGTTTTATTTCAGCTAATGCATCTGCTGCAACAATTTCTGCTAACATCAACTCAATTCCCATGCTAAATGGGACAAACTTCAAGGTTTGGAAAGAGAACATATTAATTGTTCTTGGCTGCATGGATCTTGACTATGCATTAAGAACTGAACAACCCCAACCTCTCAATGCGGATAGCACTCCTGATGCAAAGAAGGAGCATGAGAAGTGGGAGCGTTCAAATCGCATGAGTCTTATGATCATTAAGCGCGGCGTTCCGGAAGCCTTCAGGGGCATAGAATCCGAAGGGATTACTAAGGCTAAAGATTTCCTTGCCGAAATTGAGAAGCGTTTTGCGAAAAACGATAAGGTAGAAACAAGCACGCTTTTAGCTCGCTTGATTTCAATGAAGTATAAGGGCAAAGGAAATATCAGGGAGTACATTATGGAAATGTCTCATATTGCTTCAAAGCTTAAGGCACTTAAACTCGATCTTTGTGACGAGTTATTAGTGCATCTGGTTTTGTTGTCTCTTCCTGCACAGTTTAACCAATTTAAGGTCAGTTATAACTGTCAAAAGGAGAAATGGACTCTAAATGAGCTCATTTCATACTGTGTGCAAGAAGAAGACAGGTTGAAGCAAGATAAGACAGAAAGTGCTCATTTGGCCTATGCCTCTAAGGATAAGGGCAAGAAAAGGAAGAATGATAAGGAAGCTGCTAAGGGTCCAGTTGAGAAGAAACAACATAAGGATAATCAGGGTTGTTTCTTCTGTAAGAAGCCTGGACATGTAAAGAAGGACTGTACAAAATATCACGCCTGGCGTGATAATAAGGGTACGTTCCTTGCTTTGGTCTGTTCTGAGGTTAATTTAGCTTCAGTACCTAGAAACACTTGGTGGTTAGACTCTGGTGCTACTACTCACATAAGTGTTTCTATGCAGGGTTGCCTGAGCTACCGAAAGCCAAGTGATGTTGAAAGACACATCTTTGTGGGCGACGGACAATCGGTAGATGTGGAAGCAATTGGGCACTTTAGGTTGTTGTTAGGAACTGGTTATTATTTGGATTTAAAAGATACTTTTGTAGTACCGTCTTTTAGACG